ATCTAGCGCGGAAGCGCTGCCGTAACGTCGCAGCGCACTCAAGCCGCAGAAGCCCGAGTCGTTCGACCCGAGCCAACGCGACGCGAACGTGCGGTTGTGGCTCTTCATGCTCAACAATTACTTCGCCGCGAGCGGGGTGCATGAGGTGGACGCCCAGCAGCGGATCGAGTACGCGGTGACGCTGCTGAGGGGCCCGGCCTTGGAGTGGTGGCGCCAACTTACGCAGACTGCTGTTAGAAGGGCTCAGACGGATTGGCATCAACAGGGCATGGGGCATGCAGCTGCAACTTCGAGCCTAAAAAGTTTGGCTTTAGGTGTTACCACGATTCCGACGACATGGGAAGAAATTTGAAGCGGCGCTAAAAAGCAGGTTCGATTTGGTGAACGCCTCTGAAAATGCTAGGAAGCGCATGCGTCATTTCAAAACAGATAGGAAACGTTCAGGAGTACACACGACGGTTCTTGAGCATCTGCAACGAAATAGACGACATCACGGAAGCAGAAATACGCGATCGCTACCTCGAAGGGTTGAAGCCGGACATAGCGGAGGTTATAGCGATTCACGGGTTGTCCACCTTTGAGTCGGTAGTCGCAGCAGCAGAACGCGTCGACGCAGTACGAAGCCGACGGGGTCGTGACGATCGCGATAGGGGATACAACAGACCGATCAACGACGCTCGATCGAGGGACGGACCGTCGCCCATGGAGATTGGTGCAGTTAACAGTGACGGCTCACATTCGTAGCAGTTTTAGGGGGAACTGTCACTACTGCAAAAAGCCGGGTCACATGAAGCGGGACTGCCCACAGTTCAAGGAGCGGCAGCAGGGAAACGGAAACCGCCAGTAGATAGCGGGTCGCTAGCTGGTGTGGAGGTTCCCGTACCCGCCACGTCTACCAACGTAGAGGAGACGGCCTTGCAGCAGTCATCTACGGAGAACGAGGTAGACACTGTTGATCGTCCAGTCATGCTTTTAGGGAAGCTTCGCGGAGTTCCTGTTAAGTTTTTTGTCGATAGCAGAGCTAGCCACTCGTTCGTATCGTCTTCATTAGTTAGTCGTCTCCATCTCGAAGCAGATCTGGCAGTCAATTTCAAGGACGCTCCCATCGTAGATGGGGCGCCTCTCCACATAGGACCAATCATTCGCAAGTTGCGCGTAGTGCAAGGACCAATCACAGTTAGGCGTGATTTCGACTCTGCGACGCTGGACGGGTATGATTTTATCTTCGGGAGAGATTGGCTACGGACGGTTTCGACTCAGTTTGATTGGGCTCAGGGAAGCTGCAGAGTCAAGGAAGACGGGGAGTTCCGGAAGCTGCCACAGTGGAGCTATGAGGCCACATCATCCACAACTATTCTTAATGCTGTTCGTGTGCGACAGTTAGTGAAGTGTGCAGTACGGATCTTCGCGGTTTTTATTTAGGAGGTGGAAGCTGAGGAGGGGAAAGGAGGGAGTGCAGCAGTTAGTGAGAAGGCGATTTTTCCTGCTGAGGTGGGTGCACTGTTAGCAGAGTTCGTTGACGTCTTCCGTGACAGTCATCTTGATCGCCTTGGGCCGCACTGATCTTGTTCGCGCCTAAGAAAGACCGAGGGTTACGAATCTACATCGATTACCACGCACTAAATGCCACCACCGTCAAGAACAGATTCCCAGTACCGAGAGTAGAGGATCTCCTAGATGCAGTGCAGGGCGCTAGAGTCTTTTCCAAGATCGACCTTCGTTCGGGTTACCACCAGATTCGCGTAGTTCCAGAGGACCAGCACAAGACGGCGTTTCGTACGAAGCAGGGGTTGTACGAGTTTAGGGTTCTACCGTTCGGACTGACCAACGCCCCAGCAATGTTCCAAACGCTCATGAACACCGTCCTCTCCGAGTTCCTAGGTTCGTTCGTTGTCGTTTACCTAGACGACATCCTTATCTTTTCCAAGTTGAAAGAGGAGCACGTTCAGCACTTGCAGAAGGTCTTCGAGGTTTTGAGGAGGGAGAAGCTGTACACGAAGCAGTCTAAGTGCGAGTTCTTCCCTCCAGATGTCGAGTTTCTAGGTCACGTCGTTTCCGCTAGTGGCATTAGGACCGACCCGAAGAAGATCGCAGCAGTACAGGATTGGGTAGCACCGACCTCAGTCAAGGAGCTGCAGAGCTTTCTCGGTTTCGCAAATTACTACCGTCGTTTCGTTCAGGGTTACGCTTCCATCGCTAGTCCACTCACCGACCTACTTCGGAAAGGCGTAGAGTACGTTTGGGGTCCAGTTCAGCAGCAGGCGTTCGAGCGGATGAAGAAGTCGCTCACGTCTTCACCGACACTGTCGTACCCTGATCCCACTCGCCCGTACGTTGTAGTGACCGACGCTTCCGATCAGGCCATAGGAGCAGTGCTTCTTCAGGACCAAGGTCGCGGGTTGCAGCCGATCGCGTACGAGTCGGAGCGGAACTGAACTATCCGATTCACGACAAGGAGGCGCTCGCGATCATCCATGCGGTGTGGAGGTGCTACCTAGAGGGGGCAGATAGTGTTATACGCACGGACCACTGCTCGCTTCGCTTTCTCAAGTCGCAGCCGCAGCTGAGTCGTCGCCAGGCTAGATGGATGGAGTTCATGGAGGGGAGCTTTCACTGCAGGATAGCGTTTAAGCCAGGCGTGCGCAACCCAGCAGATCCGCTCACTCGCCCTAGTTGCCAGCTCGCTAGTCTCATAGTTACTATCGGCCATCCACTTCTCATAGCACTCTTCGAGCACGGTTACACAGTAGATCCCGACTTCACAGCACAGCCGCCCGCAGGAGCAGAGGCGTAGGGTAGTGTCTAAGTACGGAAGGGTACAACATGGATTTGGGTTCCAGCCTACCGCCCTCTTCGACAGCTCCTTCTCTCAGAGGCGCACGACGTAGTTAGTGCAGGTCACTTCGGAGCAGATAAGACGGCTAAGACGCTTAGTCGCACGTACTACTGGCCAGGGCTTGCAGCAGACGTAGAGGATTACATTCGCTCGTGCGATACGTATCAGCGTACGAAGTCCTCTCGCCGGCGCAAAGCAGGACTCTTGCAGCCGATTCCACCGCCCGACCGCCCTTGGCATGTAGCTACCATGAATTTCATCATGGCTTTACCGCGCACAGTTAGGGGTCACGACGCCATCTTCGTTGTAGTCGACAAGTTCTCTCGAGCAGCGCACTTCATCCCCACGCACGGCCAGGTCACAGCAGAGGAAGCCGCGACGCTGTTCGTAGATAACGTAGTCCGACTGCACGGGGTTCCAGATTCCATTATTTGACCGCGACCCTCGTTTCACTTCGAAGTTCTGGAAGCAGCTTTTCGCACTGTTTGGGACTCGCTTAGCCATGTCGTCAGCGTACCATCCAGAGACAGACGGACAGACTGAGCGTGTGAACCAGACACTGGAGCAGATTCTTCACAGCATCACGATGCACGACGCAGCAGCATGGGAGAAGAAGTTGAGCATGGCAGAGTTCGCATACAACAACACGCACCACTCCGCCACAGGCATGTCACCGTTCTTCGCACTGTACGGTCAGCACCCCAATGTCCCCACTCGTGTCGATCTCACACCCACTGTCCCTCGTGCGGACAACTTCCACCAGCATCTCACTTTCATCCATGACCACATGAGGAAGCACCTTGAGCTCGCTAATGCACGCATGGCACGCACCACCAACCACAGTTGTCATGAGGTGTCGTTTATAGTCAACGACCGTGTCCTTCTCGACAGCCGCAACCTCCGACTGCCACAGGACAGCAAGCTTCGCCCACGTTTCATTGGTCCATTGTTCATTGGGCGCGCACTTGGTCCAGTCGCATACCGCCTTCGCCTTCCCGCTCATTTCCGCATGCACCCGTCATTCCACGTGTCTCTCCTTCGTCCATACACCGATCCCAACTCCACCTTCTCGGGCCGTGATCGCACTCCACTGCCGGTAGCTGTTGACACCGACGAGCCCGACTACCAGATCCAGCGCATCCTCAGGCACCGTCGCCGTCTCCAGGGGGGTGTCTCCTTCATCGACTTCTTGGTTCGTTGGCGTGGTTACGATGCAGCCGACGACAGCTGGGTTCCTTCGTCCTCGCTGTCTCCTGACAACGCTTGCCTCCAAGCGTACCTTCAGTGTGCAGGCGTCGCGGATGTCGCCTCCTTGGGAGGGGGATAGTGTTAAGGGGGGATTTACTGTTCATTTCGAACAATACTTTCCAACTCACCCTTATCCTTATCTTCTCAGATTCTCTAGTGCCACGTGGCACTCTACTTTGTTTGCCTTCCAATTCCTAGTCCCACATTCGACTTTCAAACCTTCCTTCTTGCATGCTAGATATAAACATTTCTTGTATTCCCTCATATGAACCAATTCTCATTTAACTCTTCTTTGTTGTTTTTGTTTTTACTAATTTATGACCTTTATGGTACGCTATGACCATTTTGAATACGGTATATTTTCAAGTTTATTAGTACCATAAACGAATTATTTTCTAGCTAATTTATATTCTTTGCATATAATAACGAAAAAAATCCCCTTTTTTTTCATCAGGTAGATTGCAATAGGTTGCTCCGCAACCCAAAAAAATATAGAATCGGAGGCGTTCCGAGGGTCTCTTGATATTCTAATCAAGTACCCCCTTTCCGAAGCCCGAGGTCCTCGCCTAACTAGTTGGCTATTTTTTTGTCTGTAGTTCCGACCTTTGGGTGAAATTCAGCTAGTTAGTGAAACCCAGGCACTCATAACGCGAATACTGTGCGAATTGTAACCAGCGTTTTTCGTGAAGTATCGTTCCCAAATCGACCAAGTTCTGAAGTCGCCCTTCGCGAACTAGCGATTTTTTGGGTCGAACCTACTGCTGGCCAGAACATTCGCTAGAATAGACACCCTAAAAGTTTGTCTGCACTTCTTTCCGACACCTGGTATGTTCCGCGCCACTGGGGCTTCTTCTGCTGCTGCTTGCCAACCATAATTTCCGATCGTCAGCACACAGCCATGGATCTTCACGCGGGGATGAAGCGAAAGCTGTCGCAAATCAGCAAGGTCAAGCCGAAAGCCGATCACGGGCAGAGCGCGGAGCTGGATACCAGCGCGGACGACCCGAGCCGGGAATTCTTCCACAGCGAGGACTCGCCGCGCGAGGCTGCTGGCGGAACGCCCGCCGCAGGCTCCGCGGTCGTCCTGAAGTCCGCGCTGAAAGGCGGAAAAGGGGGCGAGAAAGGGGGGAAAGATGGCGTGGGGAAGGGCAAGGGGAAGGCGGTGGGGTTTGCGGAGGCGGATCAGGGGGAGGAGGGCGGAGAGGCGGAGCTGAGAACGGGCGCAAGAGAGGTGCGCCTACCGACTGTTGCGGAGGGCGCTGGCGCAGATTCCGCGGAGCCAGGCGGGGTAGCGGAAGGGGAGGAGCATGGGGGAGGCGGAGAGGGTGCGGGTGGCGGAGGAAGTGGGGGGGAGCAAGGGGGAGGTGGGGCGGGCGGGGAAGCGGGCGGGGGAATGGGGCGGGAGGAGGAGGAGGAGGAACAGGTGGGGCTAGACCTGGACCTTACAAGGGTGCCAGCCATGAGCCCTGCTGCCATGCAGTGAGTCGCTTCTTGAGACGTGGACTTTTCAAAGCAAGTGCCGGCTTTGAGCTCCACTTCCATGCACCCATCGTGACATGAGCGCATGACACACTACCATGCACCCATCGTGACATGAGCGCATGACACACTACCATGCACCCATCGTGACATGAGCGCATGACACACTACCATGCACCCATCGTGACATGAGCGCATGACACACTACCATGCACCCATCGTGACATGAGCGCATGACACACTACCATGCACCCATCGTAACATGAGCGCATGACACACTACCATGCACCCATCGTGACATGAGCGCATGACACACTACCATGCACCCATCGTGACATGAGCGCATGACACACTACCATGCACCCATCGTGACATGAGCGCATGACACACTACCATGCACCCATCGTGACATGAGCGCATGACACACTACCATGCACCCATCGTGACATGAGCGCATGACACACTACCATGCACCCATCGTGACATGAGCGCATGACACACTACCATGCACCCATCGTGACATGAGCGCATGACACACTACCATGCACCCATCGTGACATGAGCGCATGACACACTACCATGCACCCATCGTGACATGAGCGCATGACACACTACCATGCACCCATCGTGACATGAGCGCATGACACACTACCATGCACCCATCGTGACATGAGCGCATGACACACTACCATGCACCCATCGTGACATGAGCGCATGACACACTACCATGCACCCATCGTGACATGAGCGCATGACACACTACCATGCACCCATCGTGACATGAGCGCATGACACACTACCATGCACCCATCGTGACATGAGCGCATGACACACTACCATGCACCCATCGTGACATGAGCGCATGACACACTACCATGCACCCATCGTGACATGAGCTCATGACACACTACCATGCACCCATCGTGACATGAGCGCATGACACACTGACAGCACCCATCGTGACATGAGCGCATGACACACTACCATGCACCCATCGTGACATGAGCGCAAGACACACTACCATGCACCCATCGTGACATGAGCGCATGACACACTACCATGCACCCATCGTGACATGAGCGCATGACACACTACCATGCACCCATCGTGACATGAGCGCATGACACACTACCATGCACCCATCGTGACATGAGCGCATGACACACTACCATGCACCCATCGTGACATGAGCGCATGACACACTACCATGCACCCATCGTGACATGAGCGCATGACACACTACCATGCACCCATCGTGACATGAGCGCATGACACACTACCATGCACCCATCGAGACATGAGCGCATGACATACTACCATGCACCCATCGTGACATGAGCGCATGACACACTTCCATGCACCCATCGTGACATGAGCGCATGACACACTTCCATGAACTTTGGCTTATGAACCATTCATGACATGACAGTACCCAACATAAGCTTCCCACACTCCACCCGTCCACCCTCCCCTCCATCTGTCCGACCTCCTCGTTCACTCACCCTCCATGTCCGCGGCAGGGAGCTATTGGACCGCTTCACACCTGAGCAGATGAACCGCTACGAGGCGTATCGACGGTCAGGATTCAAGCAGGCCAGCATGCGACGGGTACGTCTTGAGCTTCTTCAGTCTCCTTGTGCTTGTGGTTATTGTTCATTTCCGTTCCATCCTGTTTTTTCGATTCTCTTCCCTCACTCACGTTACGGACATCCCTCCGTCCACTGCTATTCTCTTCTCTTTGACCGTCTGCTGAGCTGCTCCCCGTGCCCATTGGTCTCTCTCTGATAGATACCCCCAGCTCTCCCGGTTGTCGCCTGGTCCTTCAAGCTTCACCTGCCTTCAACTCTTCAGCATCCTCGCCCCCGTCTTTCTCCTACGGTTTCCGTGCTTGTGCCTGTGGCCGCATGCCTTGCCTTGTCTGCGGAGTGGTGGGTGTGTTGTGTGCATCTCACTTCTCCACTCTGTTCTTCTCCACTTTCTATTCCCCCCACCCCACCCCACCCCGCCCCACCTCACTCCATCGCACCGCACTGCACCTTGCATGCAGCTGGTGCACGGGGTGGCGGGCAGCACAGTGAGTCCGCAGCTTGGGATCGTGATGGCGGGCGTGGCGAAGCTCATGGTGGGCGAACTCGTGGAGACGGGTGAGCTCAGAGGGGGGGTTGATGCAAGGGCACATGGGGGAGACGCTGTGGTGGGTGTGGGATGGCAACAGGGGGTTATGCCCAGCCACCTGCGGACTGACTTATTGTGATGGCTGGCGTGGCCAAGCTCATGGTGGCCAAGCTCATTGTGGCCGAGCTCATTGTGGCCGAGCTCATTGTGGCCGAGCTCATTGTGGCCGAGCTCATGGTGGCCGAGCTCATTGTGGCCGAGCTCGTGGAGATCGGTGAGCTGTGATGGCGGTGGGGTGGTGGGATGTGGAAGGGGATCTGCTTTGGTTGAGACGGGTGAGATGGCAGTGGGGTGTTGCGAGGGTGGAAGGTGGTTATGCGTTGTGTCCCAAGCTCATGGTGGGTGGGGCGGGTGAGATTGCAGCGTTCGCCAAGTGAGCTGTGGGTGGCTGTGCTGGCTGTGCTGGCTGTGCTGGCTTTGTCCCAAGCTCATGGTGGGTGAGCTTGTGGTTGTGGAGACGGGTGAGCTGACACGATGGAGGGAGGGACGGAAGCGGCAAGTGTGCGACGGTGCGTGCGAGCGAGCGTGTGAACGAGTATCTGGGCACGTGCTTTCACGGTAGCCTCGCACAATGTGGGTCGTGTGTGCAGTGGCCATGCGGAGGGGAGTGGGCAGTGACCAGTGAGCCTCTCCCCACCAGTGGCCCTGGCAAAGCTGCTAGTGGGGAGGGCAAAGCTGCTAGTGGGGAGGGCAAAGCTGCTAGTGGGGAGGGCAAAGCTGCTAGTGGGGAGGGCAAAGCTGCTAGTGGGGAGGGCAAAGCTGCTAGTGGGGAGGGCAAAGCTGCTAGTGGGGAGGGCAAAGCTGCTAGTGGGGAGGGCAAAGCTGCTAGTGGGGAGGGCAAAGCTGCTAGTGGGGAGGGCAAAGCTGCAAGTGGGGAGGCTGGTCGGAGAGGTGGGTGCATTGAAGTGGCAAATGAAATGAGTGGGTAGGGAGGGTCTGAGTTGTGGGGAGCTTTGCAGGCTGGCGTGCCTCTTCCCTCACCCACCCATGCTCGCATCGCTGCATGAACCCATCATTTCATCCTCCCACTACGCATTTCTTATTAGTAAGGCACCTGGTTCCAACCCCCCAACCCCAACCTGTCTGCCTCTTACTGCCTCGCCACTCTTCACACCTTTCGCTGTTCCTGACTCCTTACTGACCCCCCTCCATGACAGCCCGGCTGGTGATGGGGGAGAGGGGCGACGAGGGGCCCATCAGGCCCACGCACATCCGCGAGGCGTATCGACGGCTCAAGATGGAGAAGCGGGTGCCCGTGCGATCTCGACCGCCGCTTTTCCGGTGACGCCTAGACCTGCAGCAGCGAGGGGCACTCCTGCGGCTTGCATCGCCATTGGCTCGTCAGTTTGGATTGGAAAAGATGGAACAGTGCATTGTACGATTGCAAACGCATTACCAAGTTTGCAAATACCAGGCGTCAACCAAGATTGATTTGGTTTTGCATGTTCCAGTACAGGCAGCAGGCGGCAACTTTCATTTTGTGCATATACCACCAGTACAGGTTTCGTGGGTTCCCAGGGAGGTGGGAAGACCACAGCATTTTCTGATCACAGCAACGTGCAACTAAGGCCCATGGCTTCGTGGCATTCGGCCTGGAACAAACATATGAGCCACTAACGTGTGTAATCTCAGCAGCAACACTGGCCTTCCATCCGAAGCCGGAACAATTTGCTACAAGGCGATATAACTTTGCTCGCTGAAAGAAGCAGAACATAATGATGCCGTACAGGTACAAACAAGAACCAGTACCTTACAAGTTTTACCGTATACTATCCTTTTATAACTTAATATTTTAATAAATTACTTGCTCTTAACCAGCTCCTGCTTCCTTTCTGAGACACCTCTGAACCGAATCAGTGGGTGGCAGGGCTCACGCCCGCTGGGGTTTCCTGTGCCGGGCTGCTCTGTCCCGCACAGCAGTGCTCCCCAACCTACCACTGCTCTCCCCCTCCTCTCGCCTCTGCTGCTGCGTGCCCTGCGACCCACCCTGCCCTCTGCTGCTGCTGTGGCCGTTAAGTTGGGTTGGAGGGTGGGGAACTGCTGATGGTATGGTGGTGGAGTCAGGGGCATGGGGCTTGGGTGATGGGAGGGTGGCAGGAGGGAGTGGGATGCACCTGGATTGGGGGGGAAAGAGTGATAGGAGGGATCAGAGAGGAGGAGTGGGTGGGAACGGATGAGATGAGTGCGGGGGGGGGGGGGGGGGGGGGGAGAGGGGTAGAGGGATGAGGGAGTGGAGATAAAGCTGGGGAGCGGAGAGAGGCGGGAAGATGAGAGCAAGGAGCAGGTGGTACGCACAAGGATGTTGCAACATGCAACATGACATGTGGACATGTGGGCAGGCACCCTGTGAGGTGAGTGCAACCGGCTGTCTGGGTGGCAAACCACCAAGTGAGGGAACGGGCTGATAGGGAGTGCACAGAAACGTGAGGGCAGGGAGAAGAGAGGGCTGGCGACAAAGGGGAGGACTGACAGCAGGGAGTGGAAGAGGGTGAAGAGCGGTGCAGTGGGGTCCCAGGGTGAGCCTGAAACGACCTCCCATGCGCTGTGGGCCATCTGGAGGGGCACAGAGGAAGTGGAGAGGCAGAAAGATAGGGGAAGGGAAGTGGTGAAGCTTGGCCAAAGCACCTGATGGATTGTGCTTGCCTCACCTCCTCTAATCGGCCGCTTTGCTGGCTTGGGTATAAGGTTCTGGGTTCCCTCTCATCTCTATTGGACTATATTCGTGCTCCTCACTTGATGTGGTCTCTTTCTTTTTTTCGTCAACTCTCCTCTCTACCTAGATTATTTTCAGCTTTTATGTTCAGAAACAGGCGGGAAACAATAGCAGCATGGGCGGAGGAGGCTGGGGGTGGGAGGACGAGTGGAGGGCAGTGGAGCAATGGGGAGAAGGGTTGACCAATTCCGTAGCAAAGCAAGAGCCGGCCAGTACTGAACACAGGGAAACAAACGATGTCATGTCATGACAAGAGAGAAACAGTGCCCAGGAAGCAACGAGCGTATGAGCAGGGAGGACACGGCAGGGCAGGGCATGAGCATACGAGCAGGGACGCGATGGCAGCAAAGGCAGCCTGGGAGGTGCAGCAAGCAGTCCAGTGGACGGTTAGAGTGTAGCCCAGTGCCATGATGAATGCAGAGCGGGAGAGCCTGGAAAGGGGGGGAGGGGAGGAGGAGGATAAGAGGTGATGAAGAGGTGCCTCTACACTTGTGGCATGACAGCAGGCAGTCCAGTGGACGGTTAGAGTGTAGCCCAGTGCCATGAGGCATGCGGAGCAGCACAGCCTGGGGGTGGGGGGGTGGGGGTATGAGGTTGTTTAGAGGCGCCTCAAACTTGTTCCATAGCAGCAGGCAGGGTAGTGCATGGCTAGAGTGTAGCCCAGTGCCATGAGGCATGCTGAAGGGACAGCCTGGAAGGTGTGGAAGGGTATGAGACGATACAGCTAGTGCTTCAGAAAGTGTCTCGTCCCAGACTCCCAGCAGGTGGTCCAGTGCACGGCTAGAGTGTAGCCCGTTGCCATGAGGAATGCCGAGCGGGACAGCCTTTTGGCGGGAGGGCGGTTGTGAGACGTTACAGATGGTGCTTTAGAAAGTTTTTCATTGCAGCACGCGGTCCAGTGCACGGCTAGAGTGTAGCCCAGTGGCATGAGGCATGTGGAGTGGGACAGCCTGGGGGCAGGGGAGGAGGCACGAGGCGTTGAGATGTCTTGAAGAAACTACAGCCATGCACAAATGCCCAACTACCCTATTCAATGATTTGTTTCTTTTCTCGTAGCTTCTGTTCCGATTTACATAAGTGTACGGACCGTGTGTTACACACGGTGCAAGTACACTAAAGAAGTGTATATCACTTTCAAAATTGCGTATTGAGGAAGTTTGCTTCATGAACAGTTGACATCGTTCTCATATAACAATGGTTCATGAAAACGGAAGTGCGAAAAAAATATTTGGCGCGTCACGCTCGCGCGCCCGAAGTCCCTCGTGCTGAAAAGGAACACGCTGTTGCTGCAGTGCCTAGTCATGTCAACGACAGCAGCGACTCCGAAGACAAAGCTGGTAAGCCTCATGCATACACCAATTTTCTTGCACCCACCGAGCATCTTTCTCCACTCCCGTCCACGCAAGAAAATTGGTGTATGCATGAGGCTCACCAGCTTCGTCTTCGGAGTCGCTGCCGTCGTTGACATTGCTAGGTACTGCAACAACAGCGTGCCCCCTTACGACGTGTCAAATCGTTTTTTTTTTTTCTTTTTTTTTTTTCCATTTCCGTTCACCCATTGTTATGAGAACGATGTCAACCGCTCAGAAACCAAGCTTTCTCAATAACATTTGCAGCTCTTGGAGTCACGAGATTTCTTAAAAAAACGCCTTTCACATTCCACAGACGTGTGAACAAGTAGACATACCAGGAAGGGTAGAGCAGCTCAGCGCGAGAGGGAGACGATGGCGTGAGGAGAGCGAGAACGAGGTCCAAGATAAGACGACCCCCACAGCCTGGTGATGGGGGAGGGTGGTGGTGGGGAGGGAGGGATGCACACAAGAGCCAAAGCACAGCTGATGCTAGCAGAGAGCGTGATGAGAAGGGGAGTGAGGCGGTCGAGAACGAGGTCCACGACGAGACAATCCCCACAGCCTGGTCATGGGGGATTGTGTCGGGCGGAGGAAAAGACACAAAAAGGAAGGAGGGTGTGGGGAGAGAGACACAAGGAGGGAGGGTGGTGTGGTGGGGAGGGGAGGGGAGCACAAAGAGTGAGGGTGGTGTCGCGCGGGACACACAAAGGGTACAAGTGGGGTGTAGCGAGTTCCGTACCGGCGAGAGTGCCGTACCTGCGAGTGTGCAGTACCTGCAAGAGTGCCGTACCTGCTAGAGTGCCGTACCTGCAAGAGTGCCGTACCTGCTAGAGTGCCGTACCTGCAAGAGTGCCGTACCTGCTAGAGTGCCGTACCTGCAAGAGTGCCGTACCTGCTAGAGTGCCGTACCTGCAAGAGTGCCGTACCTGCTAGAGTGCCGTACCTGCAAGAGTGCCGTACCTGCTAGAGTGCCGTACCTGCAAGAGTGCCGTACCTGCTAGAGTGCCGTACCTGCAAGAGTGCCGTACCTGCTAGAGTGCCGTACCTGCAAGAGTGCCGTACCTGCTAGAGTGCCGTACCTGCAAGAGTGCCGTACCTGCTAGAGTGCCGTACCTGCAAGAGTGCCGTACCTGCTAGAGTGCCGTACCTGCAAGAGTGCCGTACCTGCTAGAGTGCCGTACCTGCAAGAGTGCCGTACCTGCTAGAGTGCCGTACCTGCAAGAGTGCCGTACCTGCTAGAGTGCCGTACCTGCAAGAGTGCCGTACCTGCTAGAGTGCCGTACCTGCAAGAGTGCCGTACCTGCTAGAGTGCCGTACCTGCAAGAGTGCCGTACCTGCTAGAGTGCCGTACCTGCAAGAGTGCCGTACCTGCTAGAGTGCCGTACCTGCAAGAGTGCCGTACCTGCTAGAGTGCCGTACCTGCAAGAGTGCCGTACCTGCTAGAGTGCCGTACCTGCAAGAGTGCCGTACCTGCTAGAGTGCCGTACCTGCAAGAGTGCCGTACCTGCTAGAGTGCCGTACCTGCAAGAGTGCCGTACCTGCTAGAGTGCCGTACCTGCAAGAGTGCCGTACCTGCTAGAGTGCCGTACCTGCAAGAGTGCCGTACCTGCTAGAGTGCCGTACCTGCAAGAGTGCCGTACCTGCTAGAGTGCCGTACCTGCAAGAGTGCCGTACCTGCTAGAGTGCCGTACCTGCAAGAGTGCCGTACCTGCTAGAGTGCCGTACCTGCAAGAGTGCCGTACCTGCTAGAGTGCCGTACCTGCAAGAGTGCCGTACCTGCTAGAGTGCCGTACCTGCAAGAGTGCCGTACCTGCTAGAGTGCCGTACCTGCAAGAGTGCCGTACCTGCTAGAGTGCCGTACCTGCAAGAGTGCCGTACCTGCTAGAGTGCCGTACCTGCAAGAGTGCCGTACCTGCTAGAGTGCCGTACCTGCAAGAGTGCCGTACCTGCTAGAGTGCCGTACCTGCAAGAGTGCCGTACCTGCTAGAGTGCCGTACCTGCAAGAGTGCCGTACCTGCTAGAGTGCCGTACCTGCAAGAGTGCCGTACCTGCTAGAGTGCCGTACCTGCAAGAGTGCCGTACCTGCTAGAGTGCCGTACCTGCAAGAGTGCCGTACCTGCTAGAGTGCCGTACCTGCAAGAGTGCCGTACCTGCTAGAGTGCCGTACCTGCAAGAGTGCCGTACCTGCTAGAGTGCCGTACCTGCAAGAGTGCCGTACCTGCTAGAGTGCCGTACCTGCAAGAGTGCCGTACCTGCTAGAGTGCCGTACCTGCAAGAGTGCCGTACCTGCTAGAGTGCCGTACCTGCAAGAGTGCCGTACCTGCTAGAGTGCCGTACCTGCAAGAGTGCCGTACCTGCTAGAGTGCCGTACCTGCAAGAGTGCCGTACCTGCTAGAGTGCCGTACCTGCAAGAGTGCCGTACCTGCTAGAGTGCCGTACCTGCAAGAGTGCCGTACCTGCTAGAGTGCCGTACCTGCAAGAGTGCCGTACCTGCTAGAGTGCCGTACCTGCAAGAGTGCCGTACCTGCTAGAGTGCCGTACCTGCAAGAGTGCCGTACCTGCTAGAGTGCCGTACCTGCAAGAGTGCCGTACCTGCTAGAGTGCCGTACCTGCAAGAGTGCCGTACCTGCTAGAGTGCCGTACCTGCAAGAGTGCCGTACCTGCTAGAGTGCCGTACCTGCAAGAGTGCCGTACCTGCTAGAGTGCCGTACCTGCAAGAGTGCCGTACCTGCTAGAGTGCCGTACCTGCAAGAGTGCCGTACCTGCTAGAGTGCCGTACCTGCAAGAGTGCCGTACCTGCTAGAGTGCCGTACCTGCAAGAGTGCCGTACCTGCTAGAGTGCCGTACCTGCAAGAGTGCCGTACCTGCTAGAGTGCCGTACCTGCAAGAGTGCCGTACCTGCTAGAGTGCCGTACCTGCAAGAGTGCCGTACCTGCTAGAGTGCCGTACCTGCAAGAGTGCCGTACCTGCTAGAGTGCCGTACCTGCAAGAGTGCCGTACCTGCTAGAGTGCCGTACCTGCAAGAGTGCCGTACCTGCTAGAGTGCCGTACCTGCAAGAGTGCCGTACCTGCTAGAGTGCCGTACCTGCAAGAGTGCCGTACCTGCTAGAGTGCCGTACCTGCAAGAGTGCCGTACCTGCTAGAGTGCCGTACCTGCAAGAGTGCCGTACCTGCTAGAGTGCCGTACCTGCAAGAGTGCCGTACCTGCTAGAGTGCCGTACCTGCAAGAGTGCCGTACCTGCTAGAGTGCCGTACCTGCAAGAGTGCCGTACCTGCTAGAGTGCCGTACCTGCAAGAGTGCCGTACCTGCTAGAGTGCCGTACCTGCAAGAGTGCCGTACCTGCTAGAGTGCCGTACCTGCAAGAGTGCCGTACCTGCTAGAGTGCCGTACCTGCAAGAGTGCCGTACCTGCTAGAGTGCCGTACCTGCAAGAGTGCCGTACCTGCTAGAGTGCCGTACCTGCTAGAGTGCCGTACCTGCAAGAGTGCCGTACCTGCTAGAGTGCCGTACCTGCAAGAGTGCCGTACCTGCTAGAGTGCCGTACCTGCAAGAGTGCCGTACCTGCTAGAGTGCCGTACCTGCAAGAGTGCCGTACCTGCTAGAGTGCCGTACCTGCAAGAGTGCCGTACCTGCTAGAGTGCCGTACCTGCAAGAGTGCCGTACCTGCTAGAGTGCCGTACCTGCAAGAGTGCCGTACCTGCTAGAGTGCCGTACCTGCAAGAGTGCCGTACCTGCTAGAGTGCCGTACCTGCAAGAGTGCCGTACCTGCTAGAGTGCCGTACCTGCAAGAGTGCCGTACCTGCTAGAGTGCCGTACCTGCAAGAGTGCCGTACCTGCTAGAGTGCCGTACCTGCAAGAGTGCCGTACCTGCTAGAGTGCCGTACCTGCAAGAGTGCCGTACCTGCTAGAGTGCCGTACCTGCAAGAGTGCCGTACCTGCTAGAGTGCCGTACCTGCAAGAGTGCCGTACCTGCTAGAGTGCCGTACCTGCAAGAGTGCCGTACCTGCTAGAGTGCCGTACCTGCAAGAGTGCCGTACCTGCTAGAGTGCCGTACCTGCAAGAGTGCCGTACCTGCTAGAGTGCCGTACCTGCAAGAGTGCCGTACCTGCTAGAGTGCCGTACCTGCAAGAGTGCCGTACCTGCTAGAGTGCCGTACCTGCAAGAGTGCCGTACCTGCTAGAGTGCCGTACCTGCAAGAGTGCCGTACCTGCTAGAGTGCCGTACCTGCAAGAGTGCCGTACCTGCTAGAGTGCCGTACCTGCAAGAGTGCCGTACCTGCTAGAGTGCCGTACCTGCAAGAGTGCCGTACCTGCTAGAGTGCCGTACCTGCAAGAGTGCCGTACCTGCTAGAGTGCCGTACCTGCAAGAGTGCCGTACCTGCTAGAGTGCCGTACCTGCAAGAGTGCCGTACCTGCTAGAGTGCCGTACCTGCAAGAGTGCCGTACCTGCTAGAGTGCCGTACCTGCAAGAGTGCCGTACCTGCTAGAGTGCCGTACCTGCAAGAGTGCCGTACCTGCTAGAGTGCCGTACCTGCAAGAGTGCCGTACCTGCTAGAGTGCCGTACCTGCAAGAGTGCCGTACCTGCTAGAGTGCCGTACCTGCAAGAGTGCCGTACCTGCTAGAGTGCCGTACCTGCAAGAGTGCCGTACCTGCTAGAGTGCCGTACCTGCAAGAGTGCCGTACCTGCTAGAGTGCCGTACCTGCAAGAGTGCCGTACCTGCTAGAGTGCCGTACCTGCAAGAGTGCCGTACCTGCTAGAGTGCCGTACCTGCAAGAGTGCCGTACCTGCTAGAGTGCCGTACCTGCAAGAGTGCCGTACCTGCTAGAGTGCCGTACCTGCAAGAGTGCCGTACCTGCTAGAGTGCCGTACCTGCAAGAGTGCCGTACCTGCTAGAGTGCCGTACCTGCAAGAGTGCCGTACCTGCTAGAGTGCCGTACCTGCAAGAGTGCCGTACCTGCTAGAGTGCCGTACCTGCAAGAGTGCCGTACCTGCTAGAGTGCCGTACCTGCAAGAGTGCCGTACCTGCTAGAGTGCCGTACCTGCAAGAGTGCCGTACCTGCTAGAGTGCCGTACCTGCAAGAGTGCCGTACCTGCTAGAGTGCCGTACCTGCAAGAGTGCCGTACCTGCTAGAGTGCCGTACCTGCAAGAGTGCCGTACCTGCTAGAGTGCCGTACCTGCAAGAGTGCCGTACCTGCTAGAGTGCCGTACCTGCAAGAGTGCCGTACCTGCTAGAGTGCCGTACCTGCAAGAGTGCCGTACCTGCTAGAGTGCCGTACCTGCAAGAGTGCCGTACCTGCTAGAGTGCCGTACCTGCAAGAGTGCCGTACCTGCTAGAGTGCCGTACCTGCAAGAGTGCCGTACCTGCTAGAGTGCCGTACCTGCAAGAGTGCCGTACCTGCTAGAGTGCCGTACCTGCAAGAGTGCCGTACCTGCTAGAGTGCCGTACCTGCAAGAGTGCCGTACCTGCTAGAGTGCCGTACCTGCAAGAGTGCCGTACCTGCTAGAGTGCCGTACCTGCAAGAGTGCCGTACCTGCTAGAGTGCCGTACCTGCAAGAGTGCCGTACCTG